GGATCCAGGGAGAACCGACTTGATAGCTTTCCTCATTGAAGAACAACCGTCTGTTATAACTGCGGTTGGCTTCTTACCACCCATGCAATGTAAAAAAGCATTTAGAATCCATACGTAGTTCTCCGCCGTTTCATCCGCAAGTAAAGCACATGCAAAAACAGTGCTTGCATTGTGATTATTCACACCAATGAATAGAAGAAATGGAAGATTATATGCATTAGTCTTGTACGTCGAGTCAAAAACAAGAACATCTCCAAAGAGACTATAATCCAATTGTGAAGGAGAGTCAGCCCATAACATATTGCCTAGTTCACCACCGTCACTTACTGTATATCTACAATAAAAACGAGGATCGGTAGTTGCCCGTGCTTGTAAGTAGGCAAGTGCAGCTTCACTGTCACTATCCAAGATCTCCGACCTCCGATCCGCACTAACAAAATTGTAGACATCGGTCTTAGTGAAACCCAAGTTCTGAAAGCTTCCTGCACAATTCACTAGATAATCCATGATTTGATTGGTGCGAATACCAGCAGCCCTAAGTGATCGAATCTGAACCTTACTTGTGTCATCTACCTTGCGATGAGAACTCAAAAACTGCACTTCATGTGCTCCAGCTAAGGGATGAAAATGTGTTGGTACAAACTGCTTCACCTTGAATCGGTTAGTTGCCTCAACAAAACTGACTTTGAAAGCAGCCGGACAATGGAGCCTTGTTACAGGCCTAGGTTCACGCTTTCTGTTCTCCTTGTCATTGTGGACTGGAAGACGCTCCCCCTCGCGTGAGCAAACCCATCGCTGCATATTTTTAACTCCATATTTTGAATATGTGTGAGTGTTCTTTCGTACGCTGAACCCCATGGCACAACCATAAGTTGAATAGAACTTGCCAGCCTCCACAAGGGTTTCAAACTCATAACCCACAACATCATCCGACTCCCATTTAGAATAAGGCTTACCATTCCCGACTTTATCAAGCAAAGTCCAGTCATACATACTCGAGTACGGTGGAACCATGGCTGGATTTGCAGCATCTTTGATGTTCTCTGAGCTGTGTGGCTGTGTTTCGAAGCTGTGCAAATGCTCATCTGAGATGTTCTCTTTATCATCATCACCAATGTTAGTGTTATTATCATCCTCAGAATCACTATCGCTGGTGTCGACATTGTCCTCCATATCGTCACTATCTCTAACACCACCGGTATCATCTCCATAATCCATTCCCCAATCTAAACCAACATTCAAGTCAATTCCCGTGTCCTTGCCTGTGCTCATATCATCCATCAACCCTTCCATAGTTGATCAACTGAAAACAAGCAACAAAATGAAGTTTAGAGACAATTGAAATCGACATATTCACCACCCACAACCGACCGAATCAAACACTTCACTTATCAATTAACAAACACGAGGCAAACACAAGACAATTGAAATGAAGGGCTGGCTGGTAACTGTAATCCACATATCAACTCGATAGTTTCCCCTTCACTTCCGCGACAAACCAACCATTCACAAATGAAATGAAGCCAAGCAAGATCACAATTCAAAACACCCACCAAATTGAACAAAGAAGACAACCAAATCCAACTTCAAACAAAGAAGCTCTCTACACACTTAACAAATGAAGTTTCATCAAATAGCTCCAAATAGCTCCACAAACCCATAGATCACCATGTAATCTTACAATTTACAATGAAAGGCCAACGTGAATGTTCCAAGACAAACAGGACCAAATAGCTCCACAAACCCATAGATCACCATGAATTCGAATCTAGCAATCTAGCAACTTACAAACCCTGAACCCTAAAATTCCCGGCGGCAGCAGTGGCCCAGATTCTGGAGCCGGCAGCGGTGGAGACAAGGCGGAGCAGTGGTTGTCTACTCTGGAGCCGGCACAGCCGTGAGCGGTACCGAGGCTGAGCAGTGGGGAATGAACTCTACACGGTGATGTCCGCCTGGCTGGTGGACGAAATCCGTAGGTGCTGGGACCGTCGATGGACGACCAGATGCTAGCAGAGGAGAACGGCGATATCTACAGGCGGGTGAATTCGAAGGAATACGGGGTGGTGAGAAAGCAGAGAGAAGGAGTTCGTCGGCTGTGGAGAAATTAGGTTCTGGCTGCTGGGATTGTGAGTGTTCGTTATGAAGAAACAGATAATCGGATAGATAAACAGTCCAACTTACCGATTCGTCGCGAAGGATGGGTAGAGAAGGGAAGACGAAGGAAGAACTGAGGCTGGGAGAGAGGGAAGCTGGAAGGAAGAAGCCGACAGGGAGTAACCGAGGATCAGTCCTCGGGCGCCGACGGAGGACGAGAAGGAAGAAACGGCATCACTGTTACGACTTACGACAGTGAGGGTTTAGGATCTAGGAATTTCTTCATTATGACCAACCCAAAAAAATCATCGGTTATAATTAGATGGGTTAACCCAAAACCATAATCAAACGAAAATCAACCCATATATCAATTACCTCAATCTCACATCGGTTCACAATTACATGGGGTTCAACCCAAAACCGATTATCAAACGCTCACTAAACCATATACATAACCTCAATCTCACATCGGTTCACAATTACATGGGGTTCAACCCAAAACCGATAATCAAACGCTCGCTAAACCATATACATAACCTCAATCTCACATCGGTTCACAGTTACATGGGGTTCAACCCAAAACCGATAATCAAACGCTCGCTAAACCATATACATAACCTCAATCTCACATCGGTTCACAATTACATGGGGTTCAACCCAAAACCGAAATCAAACGCTCCCTAAACCATATACATAACCTCAATCTCACATCGGTTCACAATTACATGGGGTTCAACCCAAAACCGATAATCAAACGCTCATTAAACCATATACATAACCTCAATCTACATCGATTCACAATTACATGGGGTTCAACCCAAAACCGATAATCAAACGCTCGCTAAACCATATACATAACCTCAATCTCACATCGGTTCACAATTACATGGGGTTCAACCCAAAACCGATAATCAAACGCTCGCTAAACCATATACATAACCTCAATCTCACATCGGTTCACAATTACATGGGGTTCAACCCAAAACCGATAATCAAACGCTCGCTAAACCATATACATAACCTCAATCTCACATCGGTTCACAATTACATGGGGTTCAACCCAAAACCGATAATCAAACGCTCATTCAACCATATACATAACCTCAATCTCACATCGGTTCACAATTACATGGGGTTCAACCCAAAACCGATAATCAAACGCTAACTAAACCATATACATAACCTCAATCTCACATCGGTTCACAATTACATGGGGTTCAACCCAAAACCGAAATCAAACACTCATTCAACCATATACATAACCTCAATCTCACATCGGTTCACAATTACATGGGGTTCAACCCAAAACCGATAATAAAACGCTCACTCAACCATATACATAACCTCAATCTCACATCGATTCACAATTACATGGGGTTCAACCCAAAACCGATAATCAAACGCTCACTAAACCATATACATAACCTCAATCTCAGATCGGTTCACAATTACATGGGGTTCAACCCAAAACCGATAATCAAACGCTCACTAAACCATATACATAACCTCAATCTCACATCGGTTCACAATTACATGGGGTTCAACCCAAAACCGATAATCAAACGCTCGCTAAACCATATACATAACCTCAATCTCACATCGGTTCACAATTACATGGGGTTCAACCCAAAACCGATAATCAAACGCTCACTAAACCATATACATAACCTCAATCTCACATCGGTTCACAATTACATGGGGTTCAACCCAAAACCGATAATAAAACGCTCACTGAACCATATACATAACCTCAATCTCACATCGGTTCACAATTAAATGGGGTTCAACCCAAAACCGATAATCAAACGCTCATTCAACCATATACATAACCTCAATCTCACATCGGTTCACAATTACATGGGGTTCAACCCAAAACCGATAATCACACGCTCGCTAAACCATATACATAACCTCAATCTCACATCGGTTCACAATTACATGGGGTTCAACCCAAAACCGATAATCACACGCTCATTCAACCATACGCAGTAAAAACCAAACGAACAATGAATTTTAGAAAATATGTTAAGTAGTCTGACTGGTTAATACACTGAATTATTATGCCAAGTGCTTTGGTTCGAACCTTCTTAATGTCGTCTTGTTTCACTAACAAGCGAGCCCACAATCTCACGGGTGTGAGATGGTCCTTTCAAGACCGTGAGGTTATCTGAACATAGGGAATGATTTTTTGAATCTCAAGGCCCAGTCTCACGGGCGTAAAATTACCATCATTAAGGCGTTATAAAATCCCATCTCACGGCCAAGTCTCACGCCCATGAGAATTTACAGAGTGGCCGTGAGATGTCCATCATTCATATCCAAAACACGACTCATCTCACGACCGTGAAAATGATGACGCCAACCCGTGAAACTCTCTGGAACTCCACCTTTTTATGGAAAAAATCTCACGGTCTCTCTCACGGCCTATCTCACAGCCGTGATATTTCCAGAATTACAAATCCAAAAACACGCCTGCTTTCAGGTCCATTTTCAACCATTTTTCGGTATATGATCATGCATAATTTTTTCCTTGTCGATACATTAAACATAATATAGAGAAAAAATAACATCACTGAATAATGCTTCATTCATAACTTCATTGTAATTTCAACAGTTTCCTAAACTTCATTCAACATCTACATTCACTAAAATTCATTCAACATCTACATTATCCTAAATGTCAATCAACATCCACATTAACTAAACTCTACATTAACATCACAAGTCTCAATGCTTCTTAGACTTTCTACCCTTTTTCTCCCCATGCGCGTGCAACGGTTTTCTTCCTCGATTGAGTAAGTTTGTCTTGAAATTCACCTTCTCAGTCTCAATTTGCGCAGGTCTTGCATGTCTCTCAAAATATTCATCTGATTGTGTCTTAACTGTAGCTTTCACCTCATTCAGATCCGTAGTGAGCAAGTACATTGTAAGTTGTGCCCGCTCATAGTCACTGTGGAACTGGTCAAGCTTCTTGGAATATCGATCTGGATCCAGCAAGTAATTGATGACAAATAGTCCACAATCAAATCTGTAATATAACAAATAATTACTATGGTCATGATGCGAACAAATAATTATCGAACTTAATTAGAACAGTGCACGATTGAACAACAACAAAGGGTACCCATTTGGTTGGCAAGCAACATCCTGGCGATATCTAACCACGAAGTCCACAAATGAAAACGCCCCTCAGATATCATCCTTAAGCAACCAATCTAGACCCAATTTCTGCAAATGAAAACATCCCCCTCATCGATATATAACGACAAAGTCGGCAAATGAAAAACAACTAACAACTAAGCAATACGTAAAGCTTGAAAACTTGAAGAACAAGAAGCAAACCAGTTTCTGCATCCTTGCATCATATTCTTCATTATGAGTTCCTCGTAATGAGTCCCAGATTTCAATTTCTTTGGCTTCCATGTTAAAGACCGCCAGATAGAAGTGCTGCAACGTGAGGTTGAAAATTAGGACATGAATCTGAAATAATGGACAAACAAACAATAATTATCAATTTAACATAGGAGAGTGAAGCCATTTCTTTTTAGAAAACAACATTACAACATACCTTACTGCAGTAAAGTAGCTCACCAATACAATATCGCTCATGTATCTTATATGAACGCATCTTAGCCATAAATTGCTCCTCGTTGCAATGACTCGCATGATCCTAGAAAAATAAAACACAGTCACCCACACAAGCTACATGTAACAAAAAATAGATTAATTTCATGACAAGAATAGACAAAGCAGACAACTATACCGAAACTGAAGGTGGAAAGAACCAAGACAAGCCACCACTGCGACCACAACTTCGTTCTTCTAGTGTCTTGCACAGACACGCCATTTCTATAATCTAATGCATCATCATCACATATACCAAAGTCAGCAATACACGTTCAATCTACTAAATTACACACATAAAGGAACTTACCCTTGTTGAAATTTTGGTCCTTGGCAAAAGCTCGACAAAATCTTCACGTAACAAGGAAAGAACCCCGCCACCAACACTAACCAATGTGTCACTGTTATACAATACCAAGTTCAAACAACACAACATTAGAATAAGGCAAATACCAAAAACATCCTACAAATATGATCCAATTTTACTTGTAATGATTTCGGGAGGTACCTTTCGGGAAGCTCACTACTAAAAGCAAATTGAATCATCTTTACTACCTCCAGAGTCAATGGTGTCTGAACAACAAAGGGAGGAGCACGGTACAAAGGTTGTGCTTTCTTAGCTCTGGGATTTGCCCGTTCGAATGGAGAGACCACATACAAACTAGGCTTCAATTTAGACACACTACGTAGTACACCTCCCTTTCGCCCCTTTCTTGTTCAAAAACATAAAAACAAAACCAGTTCATTAGTAACCACACCATAAGAACCAATAATTAGAAAACTTAATCAAGTGAAATAAATTCACAGCCTTGGAACAACCATCATTAGCAGCAACACTTTCATCACTCAACAATATGAATTTCTCAACTTGAGACGCTTTAGGCTGCTTGCAAGGAGACTTTTTCACAACTTTCACAGAAGGAGTTTCAGAACATCTCTCATCTCCAATTTCCCCCTCAGCTTCTCCCGAATTCTCAACTTTGGCAGTCTTGACACATTCCAAGGTAGGAGAAATGGGTTCCCTTGGTTTTTCAACCTCACCCTTCTGATCGTTCTTTTTCAACTCGGCTGTAGGAGAAATGGGTTCCCTAGGCTGCTCCCTTGACAACGGATCACCTACAGTTGCTTTCACTGCCTCTATAAGGGATTTCACTGCAGTACCGATTTCGTCTCTAAAAGCCCGAAATTCGTTCTCCATTTTCACAACCCGGCTCATTAGCTCATTATCTCTAGAAGCAGCATCACCCATTGCCACTCTAAATTCTTGACCAAAGTTGTCAATTCTACCCTCCATGGTACTAAACCGAGCATCAATACGCTCATAGAGAAGCAGCTCATCCCCGTCGGGTTTGTGCCGTTTCCCGTCTCTTTTTCCCCGTTTCCTTGGAGGTGATTTCAAACCGGCATCCTCAGCTGATCTTTTCCCCGAACTGCTGTAAACCTATAAATTAATTAAAAAGGGAACCAAATGTACCATTAGCATGCTCCAACTTGTCAAAAGAATCAAATATACTATCAATCTTACCACTTTTGTTAACAATAACTCCACGTCTCAGCTCTCCCAACTCATCAAATCCAAACTCTCATCAATGGTTTGGAAAATACCATTTGCATGCTCCAAGAATATTAACTACAAAAAAAAAATACTATAATCAACATGATGATTAATCATTACAAATATGTAGAAAGTCGGGATTAGCAATTATTTACCTCCAAAAACAGCAAGCAACCCGGTATATACTCTCTCCTATAAGCATTATGGTCGCAGATGCATTTGACCAACTCATTGAAGCAAAAGGATGCCTGACACGCCAAAACACAACACCAAACTGCGACCAAGTGTAATCGCAGTCCGGGAATGCAGTAACAGGCAAGTTATATTATCAACCCGGGGTCTAGATCTACTGCTTACTCCGTGATTCTCTATTATCTAGCAAACTAATTCGAGTGAGTGTTGTTTAAAGCAAAAGCAGTAAGAAAGCAGTAAACTGTTCGGTTTTCTAAAGCAGGTAAGAGTCACTCGGGATTGAGTCCCCCTAGCCCCTTAGTTAGGTTCAATTGCAATTCCCTGGGTTGATTTACTGTTGATTAGACTGCGGAAGATCCGACAGTAGCTTGGAATCTCTTAAGCTGACCAAGCCCTCTCAGTCTAACTACCCGGCAGACAACTAGTCTTCACCGGGATAGAAAGCTGAGGCTATGAACACAGAACTCCACTACTGGCGTCAAGAACACCAGTACAAAGCAGTAAACTGGCTAACTCTCGTATAGCCAATCTCCTACTATCGAATGAAGAGGCTCTAACAACCTAATCAGATTCTATCTATCTCAGGTTGAAGCAGAAATTGAGACAAGCTGATCAGACTCAAATCAATTCATGAAACATGCATCATTCGATTAAAATCAAACAATAATATCATCCCAAGTCATTACAATCGAATCCCTAACACAAGGAACTAGGGTTCTTCATACCCAAGTGAGAGAAAGGTTCTACTCCATAGAGAGAGAGAGGAAAACAGAAATCAGAGTAGCCATACTCATAAAGATGAGGAAAATCTGCTCTGGGATGTCAATCTTCACTCCTAGGGACGCAATCTGGGCTTCAATGATGAGAAATCCACTCCAAAATAGCTCCTAGGGTTTGTTCTTCGCTCTTTCTCTCTCTAAAACTCTGTTTTTGCCCAGAAAATCGAATTATCTTTCCTTGGCTCGAATCTGCCTTCAAAAACCCGACTCTGGGCGAATTACGGGCAGGATTACGGCCGTAATCACTTCCTGCCCGTAATTCACACCAAAACGCACGTTTCACTTAAGCTGCAGGAGGAGGAGTTACGCCCGTAATTTCCCAATTACCGCCAGTAATTTGGGAATTACGGCCGTAATTCTTGGGGTCTTGCCCGTAATTTTATCACCGCGAGGGAATTCTGGGTAGAAGGCTCGTCCAATAAATTACGGGCATGCCCTGGCCAATTACGGCCGTAATTTGTCAGGGGCTGCCCGTAATTCACTCTCCGCTCCTGTTCAAAACTTCGTTTCTCCCTCGTCCGGACTCCAAATCAGTCGCCGTTTGAACCCAGACGCTCGTAGTCTCGTCCTCTTTCTTTTCATGACAAGCTTGCATGATTCTTTGTCCATAAAGTGAGGTAGAAATCCATTCTTCTTTAGGTCATGCCCGAGTTTCTTCTCCCGAATCGTCAATTGATCTCTGATTGACTTGAAACTTGCGCCTATGCTTCACTTTATGTGCTAGGACCTGAAATATGACAAAGGAACACAACCTAGCGTAAAATAGGCCAAGGAACAATCAATTCGAGCCAAAATGGGCAGGAAACCAGAGTGAAAACACGTGCAAATACGATGCTATCAAATTCCCCCACACTTAACTGTTTGCTTGTCCCCAAGCAAACCAAGTACTACACAAGGTAAGCTCACATATTTCAATCAACCAACATTGGGGACAAGTCATAAAGGCACATAACACGTGAATCAAACTGGTTTTCAAACATCAACATATGAACAACTTTAATAGCAACCTGAACAACCACCACAAAGGACATTCGAGTGCAGCAAATCGAGTAAAGGAAGAGTCTCCCTTCTGTTCACTGGCCAACCTAGACTTGATTCAACCACTCACTCAAAACAGTCAACTCATGCATCCAACTCAAGACATCAGAACAGTGACCGAGCAATCTAGGTCCTCACCGGGGTACAAGAGTATAGAGAATATGAAAATGAATCACTCACTCTCGACCAGTGGGGCCAGGACAATTTAATGCGAAAAATGCGCATGCTATTTCTCTCAATCCCTAACATCTCTTCACCATGATGGCAGCCTCTAAATGCTAGAGTTCACATACATAATGTCATCACTAACTAATCAGGAGGTCTTAGACACAGGTTCAAATGACTGGCTAGGGTCTTGGACATGGGGAAAAGGCCTTTTAGGTGGTGGAAGTATTCATAGCACAAGGTTCCACATTTCCAAACCCACACAATCACAGTCAAACAAACCGGTATTCCCTTTCTGCTATTCTGCAATACTCAACATCTCAAGAGCACAAGAGCGAAGGAGGCATAAACATCAGCATTTCCAAGCCAGACTGCTAAGAAACACTACTTAATGGGCATTATTCAGATTTTTGGTAGTGGCTCTCTTTTGCTTTCAATTTTTTTTCTTTGTTTTTCTTTTATTTTTCTTTTCATTTCTTAAGAGAGCCACCACTTCTGCATAAATTTCAAACACATGCCCAACTGTTAAGCACTACCTCCAACACTCACATAGACTTTAGCAGAAACAGCAGAGAATATATATAAAACCACTCTGTGGAACCTTCTAAAAGATGCAACAAGGGTGATTTTCTCATTATAGACCAAAAGAAAGGATAACACACGGCTCAAAGGGGATGACTAGGGGATAAGACACATCAGGACAGTCAGTTTTGGGCGTGGGCTAATCCTATGCCCCCATCATCTTAGCTAGTGACAACGTGAATGCTACACATCATGGAAGAGGGATCTATCGCACAAGAAAGAAACGAGCAGGCTCAAATCTCACATGGCTACCTATCATGCTCTATCTCACATTCTGATACC